GGAGAAACCAGCATTCCTGAAAGACAGGATTTTCGTTGTGTATCGATTCCAGTACTATGACGTAATAATATTAAGGACAGATGGTGTGCTCTGTTCCCAGCACTGTGCCTGAGAATCCAAAGCTCTGCCTATATATTCCGTGCCTGTACTCATTCATTGATTAAACTCAATATAGCTAGCCACTCTGGGGATCTCATTTCTGATCAAATATTTGGCCAAAAAGTCCCTTAATTTTGTGGAATTTAAAATTGGACTTAACCAGAACAAGTCAGAATTTGAAGGGACTTGAACAAGCCATGTTGAAGGTCGTTGCAGCTTGCAGTGAATGAAATTTACCTTCAGTTTTTTAGATAGTAGAAATAGCAAAGAAATTTGACATCAAGGGTTGCAAAATGTTTTGCAAATTTAGATTAGGGTCATATTAAAGTGTCTTCCATTGCATAATGGAAAAAGCAGGGACTTTATAGTTAGATCTGAGTTCAGATAATTGGTACAGACTTCGGCTGTGAACTCTAAGGCAAGATATGTAGCCTTTCTGAGATACAGGGTCCACGTTTGTAAAGTGCCATGTCCTGTTGATTTGATGAGCTAATATATGTAAAGAATTTAGTACATTAATGTACAGTGACGTTTAGTAGTCTTGCTAGTTCCTTTAGTAAGTAGATGACAGATGATGAAAATCAGTTTTAGATGCAGAAAAGTTGAGAGGTTTAGGTTGGGTGGATATCAGAAAAGTCTCAAAATCTCAGGTCTCTGTTGTGAGCATACTATGATGGAGTGGTGGAAAAAACTAGACTGGGACATTGACTGTATGTAGTCTTGGCTCTGTCTATGTAAGTATTACTGTGATCTTAGGTAGACCATTATCATCTTGGCCTTGGCTTGGTTGTAAAAATGAGGCAAGTGGACCAGGTAATTTTTAAAACTTCTTCTTGTGGCCTGAAGTAGAGCTAAAAGGTAGAAAAGAGAATAGCTAACATTATTGAATAACTACTGTGTATTGTTGCAATCACATATTATATATCTACTCATAGTGTTCTCACAACAAAACTATGAGGTACATACTGTTATTAACCTCATTTTACAGATGAGGAAACAGAGGCTGAGATGTTAATCTTACCTAAGGTTCCAGAGCTTATAAATAGGAGAGCTAGCATTTGAATCCAGGTAACCTAAATCCATGTTCTTAATCACTGTGCTAAACTGCCTCTTATGAAGAGCACGTCATGGTACTGTTACGCATACTAGAAAAGAAAGTAGAGGTGTACTTGGTAAGATGATAGCCTTTGGTCACAGTTGACTGTGAGGTCATGGAAAATGGGTCTATACTAATGCTTGCCACATTTCTGGATCCTTGTTCTTTCCATACTTTTGCTCCCTGGACTTAAATTATCAAAATAACTCTAGATTCTCTTCCACTGACCAAGGCTAGATGAAGATAGGCACTAAATTTTACTGTGATTTTTGAGAAAAGTTTTATGAGATCTGACCTCGGCTTAGGTCAGAGTTGAGGAATCCCAGACAGTCATATATCCATTGCGGAGAGCTAAGGCAGATTTTGGATAAGCTAAGGCAGATTTTGGATAAACAGATCAGCTTTAGCACCCCACATTTATTTCGGTGTTCTTACACTTGAGATACTTTTGTCTGGGTTCTCTCTCTCTCTCTCTCTTTTTTTTTTTTTTTTTTGCGGTACGCGGGCCTCTCACTGTTGTGGCCTCTTCCGTTGCAGAGCACAGGCTCCGGACGCACAGGCTCAGCGGCCATGGCTCATGGGCCCGGCCGCTCCGCGGCACATGAGATCTTCCCAGACCAGGGCACGAACCCGTGTCCCCTGCATCGGCAGGCGGACTCTCAACCACTGCGCCACCAGGGAAGCCCCTGGGTTCTCTCTCTTTTAATGTCAGGTTTGGATTTATGTGTAGGAGCAGAAGGAGTTGAAAATGAACTCCTAAGAGCACTTCTGACACAGCATTGGATTAATATGATAGCAACTATAGATTGAGAAGAAGAATTTTATAGTTGAAAAATTCAATCTTGTGTCGAGTGCATATTATGATGTAGTACTGTGCTAATGTAGGCATTGCAAAGTTTGAGGATTGACCCTATTTTGAAGGAAGTAAAATCCATGGCTAAAATACTTTGACTTAAAGGGCTCAACAAACCTTTTGATCCCATATATAAAATAAATCTGTTTATGACTCTGGATGTCCTGACAGACTTAGAATATATACAGGAGTAGCGTTTTGAGACTGGTCTATTTGATCACATCACAATAAGAAAAAATTGCTACTTGTGTTTTTTTGTTATTGTCATGCAGAGGCAGCTGGTGATACTCTGGTGTTGCACACGGCTACCACATACAGTTGGGCAGGTTTTGCACTGTTCAGCCCTCAGGGCAATCTTACATGGGCTATGATGTGAGTAGTGCTGTCTTGGGTTATGTGGTATATCCTGTAGCACTGTCCTTGCACCCTGCTTTTGTGCTCTTGCTTCCACCCCAATCTGGACGTGTTTTTCTAAGAGTAATTTTCTATTGTTTGGGTTATATGTGGCCAAAATTTCAGAAACTGGCTTCTTTTTCCTTACCTACTACATTGGTCAGCCTGGAACACGTTGCATTTATGGAAGACTTCTGGGTTTAATTTTAGTATTAGACTAAAATACGGGCAAAAGAAGTATAACCCATCCCTATACTAGATCTGATTTCAAAGTTGAGTGCATTGATTTTGTGATTATCTGTTGCTTTGACTTGTGTATCATATCACTCTTCTCAGCTGTCATGAGAGTTCTGTTTCAGGTGTATTCTTAAAAAGACTGGATATTAGAAATCTGGAGCATTTAATATACAGGTTTCCCCCTACTATCTGAAAGTAGAGCATTCCTACCTTTTGTAAGCTGAAATGGCATAAAGTGATGAAGCAATTATCGTAGGACACATCTTGCTAACAGACGCACAAAATAAATACAACACGGATGCTCACAGACACAGGTCAAAGCTGTGGTGGCTTGAGGCTGAGAGTCTGAGTGTAGCTCTCAGGGAAGGAGCTTGGTGTCACTGCTCAGAGTGAGTGCTGCCTCTGTAACACCTTGCTGCAAAACAAACGCTGAATGCTATTTTTGTTTTTTGCCTTTTTTCACGAAAGTGAAAATCCTCATCAGATTTCTTTTGTTTAGCAAAACAGGTACTAATGTAGGTCTTTTATACAAGTGAAGTGGCATAAAGCAAACTTTTAAAAAATGGGGAGGGGCTTCTCTGGTGGCGCAGTGGTTGAGATGCAGGGGACGCGGGTTCGTGCCCCAGTCCGGGAGGATCCCACATGCCGCAGAACGGCTGGGCCTGTGAGCCATGGCCGCTGAGCCTGCGTGTCCGGAGCCTGTGCTCCGCAACGGAAGAGGCCACAGCAGTGAGAGGCCCGCGTACCGCAAAAAAAAAAAAAAAAAATGGGGAATACTTCTCTCATGTAGCAGGGAAGATAGCCAAGTTGAAGTCTGCTGTTGCTGAGTATTCCCAAGATCACTTACTTTTGCTTTTGGCTGTTACCTCTGTCATCCCTCCCAGACAAGTATCAATAGTTGAAGTGGTATGAAAGTGCTCTTCTCTCGGGGAAGGGCCAAATGAAGTTTTCACTGCTAGCACTCTTCCTCTTCAATTATAAAGACACATTGATTGGAGAAGAATAATTTTTGAAGTGTGGTCTTCGAATACTATTATACAAAGCATTTAATGACTTAAAGAATTTTTGAAAAAAATTTCATAATCTATTTGGATTTATGTGTGTGTGTGTGTAGATATATATACACATATACACACATATTTATACAGTTGACCCTTGAACAACGATGATTAGGGGTGCTGACCCTCTGCACGATTGAAAATCCACATATAACTTTACAGTCAGCCTGCCATATACGCAATTCTGCATCTGCACATTGTAGTGTGCAGGTCATGTAGTTCTGTAGTAGTATTTATAGAAAAAAATTTGAGTGTAAGTGGACCCACATAGTTCAAACCCTTGTTCAAGGGTCATCTGTGTGTGTGTGTGCGTGTGTGTGTGTGCGTGTGTGTGTGCGCATGTGTGCGCAACTATACCTATCTAAAACTTTTTCTGAAGTACAAAGAACCTGAGAATTAAAACCAGTGAGGGAGAGTAGCGCTACTGCTGCATAAGTGGGAAGACTTGGGATAGATGTAGTAAGCATTATTTTTAGTGTTACTTCTTTAATACAGCTATGTGTAAAGGAGGTTTAATATCTTTCTTTTTTAGACTGAGTGATATCTTACTTGAGAGGTAGTTTATAGATGTGTACACTGAGCACTCTATTGCCATGTTCATGCCAGCATCTGAAGTGTCATGAGGGAATATACAATACACTGATCACTGTTTTGATTGTGATTCTAGTTCTGGTATGTAGACATCCTTGTTCAATAGGTTTGGGTTCTACTGTTAAGCATATGGAGGCATAACAATGCCTTGGGTATAGTAGGTGCTCAATAAATACTTGTTGAAGGAGTAACAACATTGACTAAGATCTAAGTTGCTTCAATGAGTAAATTAGATTGATTAACAAATCTGTTTTCAGTAATAATCTGGTACATTATTTAATAAATTTTGAGCACATTGCATGTGAAATGAATATTAGCAATAGAGCAGAACATGTTTCACAAGGATTTGGTGCTCTAATATTTTGGAGCCTTTTATGGACACAAGAAAATGTTAATATTTATTTACTCATTTACATCCTAATCTATTTTAACTATAACCAGGAGGTGACAAGTACATATTTTTCATTTAACCCATATTAGTGTTTCAGATAACGAGTATTTTTCTTTTGAATTTTGTTTAAAAAGTGTTAATTGGTATATATGAAACAATTTTAATAATGAAGAATATTTTTAGAGAGATTTGTCTTCCTTGCTGCCATTATCCTTAATGTAAGAGCTTTTTCAATTTGCTGTGTGTTCTTTATCCATACTAAAGGTTTTTCATATAATTTACATCAATAAATATACAATGGCATAAACGTTCTTTCATGTTATTATAGTCATAATTATTTTTAGTAGCCACTTCATTAGAAATGGCAACTATAATCAACCAGGCTCTGAATGGACAGTTTATGTTGTTTCCAATTTACTGGGTTATAAATAAGGTTGAAGTAAAGATTTTTATGGATGTAATTTTTTTCCTTCTTAATTTTCCTTAGGCTAAATTTCCAAGAGTAAAATTACTTTGTAAAAAATATTTAAATGTTTTTATGAATCTTGTTTATTACTGTACTGCTTTCCAAAAATATTGCATTTAAAATTTGTGTTCAATATTTTGTGTTAGTTTTTCCATAACTTTGCTAGCATTGATCTTCTTTTAGAAAAATATTTTACGAAATATACAATACTTATTATGCATTTCTCTGACTACCAAGAAACTCAACATTTTCTCTTATTTACTTAATACTTCGCTTTGTAAACTGTAAATATTCTTTGCTTATTTCCCCACTGGGTATTTATTCTTAGTAAAGCATGTGAAAAGGGTCCTACTGGGTCACTTAATTTTCTTTTGAAAAACAAGCTTATATTTCATTACTCTATGTGTCTGTGTTTCTAACTTTTTCTCATTGCAGACCATTCATCAAGAATTTTCTATCCAAGGCCCAAAAGTTTGTTACCGAAGATGATGAATGCTGACATGGATGGTATGTTCTTCGTTTTCCTTTTTGTATGTTCCTGGTTTTGTGGCGCTTGCATTGCTTTATTAAGCAATAGAAAGATCAGAGAATCGATACTTAGAAGGCTTTGATCTTGGCCAGTGTACTTATTTATAATCCCATCTAGTTCTAGAAAAGATTTAAGGCAACTTCCATTCTTTAACTATGAGATGTTGGCAAAACATTTTACCTTCACCTTGGTGTCCTCATCTGCCATGTGGGATATTACCTTTTATTTTACAGGGCTCTTGTATAAGTCAAGTAAGAATGAATATAAACCATTTTGCAGATCTTTTAAGTGCTATACTGTACAAGTGGTAGCTAATATTAATAGTAAATCTGAACCTTTTCATTACAGCAGTTGATGCTGAAAATCAGGTGGAACTGGAGGAGAAAACACGACTTATTAATCAAGTCTTGGAACTCCAACACACCCTTGAAGGTTAGCTTGCATTTTGTATTTTTCTTGACTAACATCCAGGTAATTGAAATTGTAATTGTAAGCAAATTGCTAAATTTTGTTTGTTGCTGTGCACAGTTTTTAAAAGTATAAATTTCAAAGTCTACTTTGGTTTTTTCCTCTCCTGCCTGTAGCTTTGGCTGGTAATTTCAAAGAACAGATACGTTTCAATAAGGAAGTCAAATAGTGTTCTTATGATTCCCTCTTTAAGGTCTAACATAATGAGCCCCGTTTAAGTCCCTGCATTGTGTTACTAAGTCCACTTTAATAAAGCTTATATGAGTGTAAAATCAGTGTATTAGCCTCAGGGATTATAAGGGAACTGATCTGAGTTTTTTCATTTTCTAAATGTCTTGCATAAAATTAATTCCACCAGTGAAACATCTTTTGGTTTTCAACGAAATTAAGAGGTGGTGGTGGTTTTTTCTGAAAACAGGTTGAGCAGATCATGTCATTTCCAGTGGCTTCCCATCTCACAGTTAATGGAAGCCAGGTTCCTCTCTGTAAGTCTCTCACTTCCCTTTTACCTTTCAGTCCTGTCACATTCCCTAACTGGGACACTTCAACCTCCTTGCTGTTCTCTCAGCAAGCTTCTCCTCAGGGTCTTAGCAGTTGCTGTTCCCCTGTGCTTGAATCTTTTCCCTTAGTCATTTGCATATCTATGTGGCTCATTCCCTTACTTCCTTTAGGTCTCTGGCGAAATTTCCTTAATCAAAATAGCTGTCCCTGACTATACTGTATCACAGGACAACTGCCCTTGGCTTCCTGTGACCCTTACCCTTCTTGCTTTTTCTCCTGACCCCCACCCACCCTAAGCCCCATTAGAATGTCAGCTTGTTACGGGCAGGGACCTTTTTTGTTACTGTTGCCTCTAGAACAGTGCCTGTCTCTTAGAAGGCACCCCAGTAACTTAGTTGCTGAATGACTGAGGTGTGGTATCTTCTTTTTTTAATCATCAAGACCTGCTCTTTTGAATTTCTTGCTAATGTAAAAATACAAAACGATCAATTGCTTGGAAACTGACTGCCTGTATCCAGTATGTGAATTCAGTTATGTTCATCTACTACACTGTCTTAAATATTACTAGTAAAGACATTATGGTTTTATGATGATATGAACTAAAATTCACATTTTAAAAACAGTGTTTTTTTAAATAACCATTTTAAGAGTTAACTATTTAACAAAAATGCTGTTAAAGAATAACAAAGAATACCATTTAGTCTAATGTGAAATCTCTTTTTAGGAATTTTGGCTATTGATTTGCACTCAGTTTGCTTTCTTTACCTTAACTTCTAAAGTAGTCTGAGTTTAAAAACAGAAAATTTAAGGATTGTATTTCTTTTTTTTTTTTTTTTTTCTTGCGTTAGGCGGGCCTCTCACTGTTGTGGCCTCTCCCATTTGCGGAGCACAGGCTCCGGACGCGCAGGCTCAGTGGCCATGGCTCACGGGCCCAGCCGCTCCGCGGCATGTGGGATCCTCCCGAAACGGGGCACGAACCCGCGTCTCCTGCATCGGCAGGCGGACTCTCAAGCACTGCGCCACCAGGGAAGCCCAGGATTGTATTTCTTTTAAAAATGAATCTTAATAAGCATTTTATAACACGGAGTCATTGCCATCATTTTATTGACAATGCACTTTTTTATTTTTCATATAGATCTCTCTGCAAGAGTAGATGCAGTTAAGGAGGAAAATCTGAAGCTAAAATCAGAAAACCAAGTTCTTGGACAATATATAGAAAACCTCATGTCAGCTTCTAGTGTTTTTCAAACAACTGACACAAAAAGCAAAAGAAAATAAGGGATTGATATCCCTTATGTCTTATGGAATTGCTGCTGATCTTTTTTTCTTTAAAACTTGGATAGATTCCAAAAGTTATAGTACTTTTGTTTGTGGCTTCACTGAGTATTTATGAAGATAATGTCAGACCTAAGCAAAATTAAGAGCATAACAGAAGACTTTCATGAGTTTGTGTATTACGTTAGTCTATGAAAATGTGCAAAGGTATTGTAGAGACTTTATAATTAGAAATGCATATATTTATGAAACTTGAAAATGAATGTTATATCAAATTTGCTTTGATTTATAGGTTTAGCATTGTCTTTTATTATAGGCATAGTTAGAGATACAAGAAAATAACCACCGTGTTGTGAAAAAGTGACCAAAATCACGTACTGAATGCACAGCTTTATATACCCTGTCCACCATCGTGTGCCTCTTCTCCATTTGCTTTCTTCCCATTTTCCTTCCCCTAAGGAAAAAATTGGTTTCACATTTGTAAAAAGTAATTTCAGTAGTTAATCATCTAAGAGAGTAGCCCGAACTCTGTTGAAACTTAACCAAAATAAGATATTTTTTCAGTTTAGGGCTTATTTGTTATATTTAGTAATAAGATAGGATAGTTGGTTTCTGTTTAATCAATTGAAAACGGGGGCTATAAAGATGAAGATTTTTCTTTGAAACTGAATTATCGTATTGGGAAGATTTGTTGTTAAAAACTTCCTTTGCACAAAATAATCCACTTGATACCTGAAAAGATGAGCTCTGGTTGTGTGTGTGTTTGAAATAGAAAATTTTGAGGAAAAATAGAAATAGGGTAGGAGAAGTATTCAATACTTGGTAAGTACTTGTAACCAACTCCAAATAGTTTTACTCCAGATTTGTGTTATCTCTGGCACAGATTAGATTTGGGCCAGGGGGAATATATAAGAAAATGGATTAAGTTTGGCTAACCTTATGTAAACCATACCTAGAAGAGAATAAAATTTGGTCTCAGGTTTATTTGCAGTACCCAGATGATCAACTTTGCAAAGTCCCTTAAAAAGTGTATTAGTATCAGAATCATGAATAAAATGGGAGAGTTTTACACGTATACTAATTGATGCTTTCTCAGTATTTTATCTCACTACTTCTCCCAGAATTGTCTGTAAACCCAACTACTGGTTTGCAGAGGTTTAGTCACTTAACACTTTTTTAAAATTTAGTTTGTACATTCCATTTGGTAAAGAAATCAGTATCAGAAGTAATGTTAAAATATTAAATAGGAAAAGAGATCCACTAATATAGTTTATGGTTATTAAATTCAGGCTAATCATGGAATAATCTTAATGTTTGTATTGGTGTTAAGATTTGATGACTTTAGCTGTATGAATATATAATAGTCATACTGCAAACATTTTGCATCCCTTTGTGACCTAATTTTTAAACATTTAAAACTGTGTTGCCATTATGCTTTGCTGTTTAATAAAAAGCTGTTTCAAAAATTGCATGTGTTTTGATATTGTTGCGTAAGTAACTGGGATATATACAGTGGTGCACTGGTGTATCGGGGTTGTTCAAAGCCACAGGATAAGTAGCATATCTTATTTAAGTACCAGTTCCTGGATGTTTAAGGGAATACTATTTTTTTTAACTAATTTATTTGTATTATTTTTGGCTGCATTGGGTCTTCGTTGCTGCATGTGGGCTTTCTCTAGTAGCGGCGAGCGGGGGCTACTCTTCATTGCGGTGCGCGGGCTTATTGCGGTGGCTTCTCTTGGCGCGGAGCACGGGCTCTAGGCGCGCAGGCTTCAGTAGTTGTGGCTCGCGGGCTCTAGAGCGCAGGTTCTGTAGCTGTGGCACATGGGCTTAGTTTCTCCGCGGCATGTGGGATCTTTCAGGACCAGGGCTCGAACCCATGTCCCCTGCATTGGCAGGTGGATTCTCAACCAGTGCGCCACCAGGGAAGTCCGGGGATACTATTCTTATTAAAACAAATATAGGATATTATACCTTAATTTAAAAAATAAAAGCAAAGAATTCAAAGAAAAGGATCCAAGATTGCCAGGGGAAAGATGGTTGTATTTTTTAGGTTAGGCTAAGCTCTTGTAACGAGATTCAGTGGTAAAAAAAACAAGTTTCTCTTCCAACTAATGGTTCTGAGGTGAGCATTGTAAACTAACAAACAGGCTTTGTGAGCTGAGGATTTCTCTACCATTTTCAACCGTGGCTTCCAAGTCACCCTAGTTATCACCATTCTGATTTGCAGAAAAATGCATGGGGTACACATGCAGGGTTTATGGGTTGGGCCTGCCTGGAAATGGCTCATGTCTTCTCACATTCCCAAGGGCGTGGGGATTTAGATGCAAGAGTGGCTGAGAAATGTAGTTGCTGGCTGGAAGCCATATTCCAGCTACGACTTTATTATGGAAGCCGACAGAGGATGAGGGTGGCAGCAGCTTCAGCCACAGCCCTCTCCTCTCGCTATTAAGTATCTGTGCCCAGCCTTCTTCCCACACACACAACGTACTCAACCTCTCCTCATCCAGTTACTGTCTCAGCTCAAGATCCAGGATCTCTGTCAAGGTCTGTCAGTTGTAGATGTGACTCCTAATAGTCTGACCGCCTCTAAACTGATGACAGATTATTTGCTTTGCCCATTTATAATGGTGTAGTGGGGATAGGATACCTAAATAAAAACTCAAAATTTGGACAACGGAATAAAGGGAAACACATCAAAGCAGTTGTGGAATACTCCTGGGAGAGAGACCCTGTGAAGATCCTGTCTCTGATAGTGGACGAAGTTCCTTGATTAGACCCTGACTGTAATCTCTGGCAAGGGACTTCCCTTACCCATTGCTCTCCATGGCTTTCCCCAACTGGAAAGTTATTCCTTGTCCATTCCCCTCATGGGAGTTGTGAAAGCAGTCCAATTCGCGCTGGTGTGAGTCTGCTGCCCATCGTTTGTAGGCCAAGCTCACGTTTCTTGGGCTGTACAGTTCCCTCAAAAACAACCTTGTTGTCCATATGCTTCAGTTCCATAGGCTAGGAATCACAATCAAGCTCTTTTCTAGACCAAATTCTCAAAAGTTTGCTTGCTTTCATTCCTCACAGGACCCTGCCTCTCTTTAACGGAGGCTACTCTGAAACCAACTGAAAATAAGACTGCCCTGGGACTGCAACACCCAGGTATCACTGCAGGGCTGGGTCCCTTTGATTGCCTTAACACTTGGAAGAGAAGTCTTAACTGGCCTTCCCCTTCTACCTCCCACACCTCAAAAATAAAACCATTTTGAACTTTTCCTGCTATTCAGGGTACAGAAGCAATTAGTTTTTCTAATCTTGTGAGGTACCTAATATGTGTGATCCTTCTCTATTCCCTTCCATCTCTGCTTGGACACTGGTAAGTTCCTTCTTGCCGATACCTTGCTAAAAGCATCAAGGAACAGCCAATTCATTTCACATTTTGGCTTATCCAACTGCTGTCCTACAGCTGTTAACTCAAGTGACAAAATGTTACCTGAAATACATGCCCCACCTGCTCATCATATGAATGGTAAACCAGTGCTGTATATTCTGTTTTCATTATGGCAGTATCTTCAGGATGTCATTTCTGTATTAGAAATACAGGTGGTAAACAGTGTGCACAGGGACTGTGCCTAGCTTCTGATCAAGACTCTCTCCTTGACCAAACTTTAACCAGGTTCTTCTGAGCCCTCTTTGTCTAGGCCTCATCTTAGGCCCTGTCTTCAGCCTGCCTAGTCCAGTTTTAGTCCTGCTAAGTGAATCTGATCACTCTGCCTGCCTTCAGCAAGAATCCTGTTAAATCGGCATGGCAAGCACCCTTCTACCCTCGATGTCTCCTCTTAGCAATTTTCCATCCACCAACCCTCCCCCGACCCACTCTGCTCAACGACTATAAATCCCCAGCTGTGTTCGCTGTATCTGGAGTTAAGCCCGTTCTCTCTCCCCTATGGTGATAGTCTTGGCCCTATTGCAATAGTCCTAAATAAAGTCTTCCTTATTGTTTCAACCAGTGTCAGAATACATTTTTAATAGTGATACTTCCTAGTTCTAAATGCTGGTGGAGTGATGACTGGCAGGGACCGCTTTTCCTCAGGGTCTCCCAGTAGAACTTCCCTCAGTACTAACATTAGTATTCCATCCAAAATTTGTCCTCTTTATATTCACTTTGGACTTCACTTATAGCAAGTTAGTACAGCTCACAATCCCTTACCTGGAACTCTTGGGACCAGATATTTCAGAATTTGGAATTTTTCGTTTCATAAAGTATTATGACTCATACACCAGTACAGCTTGGAGCAGCACTTGGAATCAAATACATTAATATTTTTGTAGCAAAATATATGAATTTAATACTAGGTTACGTAAGTAAAGACTACAGATAGCCTGTCAGGGAGGTCAGGTTTGGCTGCCAAATGAGTTTTGGTGTCAAACATGAAAAACTTCAGATTTACAGAGATTTTTGGAATTTGGAATTGTACATGTAACAATAAAACAATTTGTGGAGAAACAACCAAAATCATCTAAGCATGCAGTTCCAACCAGTTTATGATGTCATATTTATATTCCTGATCAAGTCCTTTCTCCAAACGAGAAGTGAAAGGTCAATTATATATTCTAAAATTACTTTATGGTCCAAAACAAAGCAAAATTGATCTTAATTCTTTAGAATGCAGTCTTTCTTTACTTTCCCCAATAATTTCCTTTCCCTATCTTGAGTTAACACCCTCTAGTGGTTGTCATCAGATATTTCTTCAATGCTGATATAATCAAAATTGCCAGCAAAGACCACATATTACTTAGTTGGTGAGACCACTTGTACATCATGAAAGAACAGAGAATGTGACTAAATGAAAGGTTAATAATTGGAAGAATGACTTAATTGCCTCTAGCTACTCCATCCTAAAAACAAGCTACAGTCTATTTCACTTAAATCATAGAGATTAATGGTATTTGAAGATATTTACTATAACGCGGACTTTATGTTGGCTTTAGGACCTAATTTACCATATAATGGA